TTCTTGGGGCCTACCCTCCGTTGATGAAATGGACGGCTGTAATGTTTAGATAAGGCGGGGCTGACCAAAAATGCATGAAAATAAAAGAAAGTACATGGATATTCAGAATTACTTTGCTTTTACGTTCGATATTGCTGTGGCTCTGAAACGGTTGTCGATTCGACCATGTTATAACAAGTCCTGTTGAGGGCATGTTGACAAACCTAAACTTTTTCTCGCTTTGTGCATGCTACGCTTTGGCCACACGTTCTACGCGCTATGGGCATTGGGCATTATTTTGCAGATTGTTGCTACTGCTGTGACATATTCCAGTCAAAAGTAACTGTAGCGACCGTACATCTCATGTAGCAGAGGGCGCACTTCATGACAGGCAGAGGGCGTGCTTTGTGTGCGCGATGCAGCCCGACGTAGCGTGTATTAAAGCAGGGCGATTGTATCGATAGCAATCACATGTCAGCGACCGGAACAGAATTGCAGGATTTTTAGGTTCAAAAACATAATTTGGGGTAAGTAAAGCAAGCATATTTCTGTCAACATTGGGCATATAAAGAGGTTTTTTATTGGGCTTAAAATGAAGTAGTTTTGGGAGTCTTAAAGAGCTTAAAAGCAGACTCATCTCTGTGACCCAATAATATAATGCTCGGCTCGTCTCAAGTTTTATGTACCCATCTCATTGAAGATTAGTGTTCATACATTATTGACAGGGACTCAGAACTGTAATCCACTTCTTTTGTGTTCACAGTCCCTTGTCAATGCGGCCTACCAGTCCAACTCTAAAAAGGGAGGGTTACTTGAGATGGAGGGGCTGATCTACCAATCTTTATCAACGCACTGTTGTATGTAGAAGCCCCTGTGTGGTATTGAGACAGTATAAAACTGCAATCAAACTGCAATCAAACGACGGAATCCTGTCGTGTTTATGATGATTGTTTAAATTGGAAAGAGCCCAGGTTAACAGTCCTACAAAATGTATTAAAGAGGTAGGCTTGACAAGTAAGAAAATATTTCTGAAATGTTAGGTAATTTCGATTTTTCTTCGTTTTAACTTTACCCTTAGAGATCTGCGGTCTAGAATCACGTATGGCCAAATGGGCCAATGAACAACAGAGTTGGCCCCCCATAAGTTGGCACCATATTAGACTGGGCTGGGCTGCACGTTTCGCGGGAAACCCTGCTTAGGGTTAAAATATTAATTATTCAAGGGCGTCTCTTTTCCTCTTTTGAGGCTTGTCATTTTGAAAATACATTATTTGAAGCATAATCTGCTCTTGTAAATGAAGTGGTGCTTGAGTTTGTGAAAACTTGACAGTCTTTCAAGTTTCGCACCTGTCATACCGATATTTTTCTGTTTCGACGATCCATCACATCACGATAACTCTTATGAATGAACTTCTGTGAAAATAACCGCAACCAATGTAAATATTTAAGAGAAAAATCCTGAGCTTTTGAGGCCCTCCTTCGACGAAGTAAAGACCCGGGGTCTTTACTCATGCATTTTGTATTTGTTTGACCTGGCTGCAAAAGTGGGACGTGCACGCAACCGTATTTCGCTTTTTGCAACTGTCGAAACAGCGTATTACATGGACCCACAGAACCGGAAGTTAACGCGCAACTTGTCTATTTATCCGTTTTCCAATACTCAACTTCGGCTCCGTCTCAAGCTTCAACTGTTTTTTACTAGCTGACTTTGAAGCTGTAAGCGCAGTAATCAGTCTAATAGTGCCACAGAACATCAAATAAGATGCAAGAAAGCCTAAAATTACGGTAATCCGATGTAGTTTAAACGCTTCAGGCCACAATTGGGGATTGGTTTTGGGAACGAAGCCTGAGACGGAGACGAAGTTGAGTATTGGAAAACAGCCCAATACGGCTGTTTCCCAAAAGGTGCGCCACCAAGAGTTTGCAACGAGTTGGCCAATCACAGTGCGCGAAATTTGTCGACCGAATGCGCGTTTAGAAATGATCAACAAATTTCGCGTGTTATGATTGGCCAACGTGTCGCAAACTCTTGGTGACGCGCTATTGTTAATTGCCCGTATTGGAGGGTGAACTCTGAGGTGCGTGCGCGTGTATGACGAAGTCATTTACGAACCGGATACAGTGTGCTTGTACGCGCGGTACAAAGAAAAGCCCGGGCCTGGGCTGAACGCGGACGCGTTGTAACTACTGGACGGACTTGACAGTGGCGACGCAGCCGGCTGTGCGCGCTCAGCTGCCTTTAGTTCTCATGAATACGGACGTTTCGCAATAGTGCGCCTCCAAGAGTTTGCGACGCGTTGGCCAATCACGATGTATGAAATCTGGTGACCCAATGCGCGTTTTGAAAGGGTCTACAGATTTTGAGCATTGTGATTGGCCAACATGTTGCCAATTCTTGGAAGCGCACTATTGTGAATCACCCATATTGAAAGACCTAAAATTGTGTTTGGAAATGAATTAGGTTACATTAAGTGCATTTTTGTTATTTTTCTTGAAATCAACACTTTAACGTCTTGGGGAACCTACAGAAAAGAACTCCGCTTTCAATGCCTTTTAAAATTTAACGTAAGAATATTCCACAAAACCTGCATGCCTTTATGTTAATATCTTTTACCATTAATATTTTCATATACGTTGAGAGACAAGTAGTTTTTTTATACAAGTTAAATAAAACAAACAAATGGACTTTTCTACCAGCAACCCTCTTTTTGAATGACTTGCCCGACCATGAAACTTTGCGGGGGGTTGGAGATAACACCATATGACTCTATATAGAGTTCGATGTCCATGATATCGGTGTACAACTGTAATGTATTAAAAATGGCATATTTAAGGCTTTCAAAATTGTCCTTCCTTTTTTGAGTGATATTGAATGCATTTTAATCGTTGGAAGTCTAAAAACTTCCTCACAATCCGCTGGATGTGTGTGTGGGGGGAGGGTGATGCAAAAGACCATCCCCTCTACCTCAAAAAGCAGGGGAGGGATTCATACCCCCCCCGATTTACGCCCATGATGGTAGGCCTGAACACAATAATATCTACCCTGAAAAGAATCTGTCTATTCGGTTTCGGTTTTTACACCAAAACAACCGAGTAAAGTTTAGGGAAAGTTACTCCCTGTATTCAGCCTATGTCCCTGTGAGTCATATTGAACTTCCGTCAAGACTCACTGCACATGGCTATGGTTCATCACCGTATTAAAATTCAAACCATAGGACACTGTGCATATGTTTGAGGAAAAAAAGGAACGTATTATTCTTAATTTCCTTGTCTCTTCAATGTCAATATCTGTACTTTTTGTCGATACCAACTCAAAACACTTTCGACATCATGACTGATAACCAACGTTTGCGGCATCAGCATGTATGATGTAGTAATTTTTGATTCTCTTTATTTAAACTTTGCAAAAGAGCCGCGGGGAACGTGAGAGTTTCGGACCGGAAAAATAACTCCGAAAATTTACTTCCTGGACTTTTTCTTTCAAAAATATTTAGACAAACACATGTAGGAAATACTGTGTATTAAAAATAATAACTTGATTGATATTTTAATTGCTCTCAATTGAATTTTCGAAAAGAGAAATGAAATTAAAAGTTGCGCTTTACATTTAGTGTTTCAAGGTTTCCCCTTTTTTCATTTTCAGTCGGTGACTGCATACCCTATTAACAGCAAAAGCTCTAAAGATTTATTCATTTTGCCATGTCTAATTTACCTGCCCGAAAACTGACGGTTGTAGGTTCTTCCCGGTCATTAATCAATATTTAATATGTAATCATAACGTAGTTTGTTCTTACTCCGGTGTACATTTCTTAATGCGTGGTTATTCACTGAACAAGTTATGCGTCTCCGTGACAATACATTCACAAGAAACAAAATTGTAGATTCCCATTCCATCACTTCAAAATGAGAATTTAGTTTCTGAAAGTCCCCTTGTCTCTGTTTTAGTCATGAAATATTTCTGATCTAAATTATGTAAAAATTGCAGTAAGAACTGTTTGCATTGCATCGACGAATTTAATTCCATCATTCCCAAATAAGAAGACCATCAATTAACGCTCTTTCTATTCTGATCAGAAATCGTTAAAACAATACAGCAGGGTGTTGCTTTCAAGTGTTTATTGACTTGTACTTTCACTGCATTATTTACCATATCATTTGTACATAAAGAGGCTGATACATGTTCGTTTGGGTTTTTACAATTTTCTTTCAATAGTTATCCATCGTCATACGCCACTGTTTTACTGTCTTTTTGTTTCTAAATAGAGACATTAATACACAGTTTTCTGTCTTTGCCTTTTTCACCTCACTGTTCTGTGATACAAGGCAGTAAATCCAGGCTGTCTTCATTATTTAACCCTAAAAGAGCACGGCGGAACACCCCCCCATTTTTTCCCGATATCGCTGCAGTGCATGTTTTTCAGGAGCTGAAGCTGCCCAAGTTTTTAGAGTAACTCTTCGCAATCATTTTGACACCAATTTTGTGAAGATCGAACATACCGCTCTTAGGCAGCTCTCTTTTTTTTCCGAAACTGGTCAGCCAAATATATATCCTTTTCAACTGCCGTGCTCAAAGCGGGCTGGCACGCTTGTAGCTACGAACTTCAAATGACCATAACGAGAAAACTGTATGTCCGATTGAGGTCAAAGAGCAGATTTGTCATGATAAGGAATGTCTTTACATGTATATAAAGTCCCACCCCCCAACAAAAAAAAATAAAAATCAAGCGATTTTAGACAGCAGCCGAATCCCCCCCCCACGGCTGTGAGACGGGCCGAATAATCCGACTCAGGATTTTTTTCAGAGCCATATGAAGCCGTGCACAAATCACTTAGCTAGAGCTGAAAATGCATGACAGCCATTGAGAGTACATGTACATGAACATGGAGGCCTATACAATTTGAATACGCATGATAATTGTGTGGCGCAGCAGTATTGCACAGATTGGGAAATCCCCCGAACGTCATTCCAGTACCGGCCGTAGCCTCCGATTCCAGTCGGGATTTGATAAGGAGTCCTACGGATGATGTTTGGCCCTGTGCTAATTGTGAGCACCAGTCCCTTTGGACTGCTTTTTGTGCTTATCAATAACTCCAAGGGTGTGTAAATGAATATGCTAAAGTTGCTGGTTGACAATTGCATGGAATAGGTGACGACTCAGTCCCTGCATCGACGTAGGGCACTGGTAAAGAAGGGGAATTCCAGTTCCTTTAAAACTATTCGTACTGCATGCATAATGCTGTGTTGGGAAGTCCCGGGCACGCACACACAGAACCAAAGTCGGTTGATCCTTTAGTCGTAGCATGCAGTGTTTTCCTCATCTAGCCGGGGCAAGTAGATTTCACCAGCGTTTTGATTATAATGTTTGGTCACTTCCCAGTCTTGGTTTTCCTTCTTTGCCGTGCAGACGGGAGAATTGCGCCGAGATGACAGCGGCTTGTTTGCAGTATTCCTGTGCATCGTGTAATAGGACATTACAGACACATGATAATCGGCTGGTGTTACAGTGAAACGGCTTCGTCATTTTAAAATTATGGCCTGCGTAGCTAAGGCAGCATTTACGAGCAGAATCGTGTGGCTCGTCGTGCTGCAGTATGCCCTGCTTGTCGATTTCAGCAGGCGTACAGCAGCCGCACCGGTACCAGCTCGACCCAACCCCACCAATGACCTTGGACCAAGTACTGATGAGGAGGACGAAAACCAGGACAATCCCCCGACGTATTCCCCTGAACAAGCTACTGATGATAACTCCGACCTAGAGATTGGTTCGAACAAGGTACGTGTAGATCAAACTATAGAGTTTCATTCAGTCTGATTCTACTTCATCAGGGACCATTTTCACACATAATTCCTTCAACTAGCAAAGAGTAAAAATGCACTCTATTTAAATTCACTCTCCAACCTAAGCCAGGGAAAAGACGAATTATACCGAAATACATGTATTGGAATAGGCCCATCGAATTTTCATTGCTAACAGTGTCCTGTGGAGTGGTTGTTTTCGATCGAAATTTAGTAATACTTCTACCTCCTTTGCTTGGAAATAAAAGTTGGACCTGACCTTGTCAGCATGCCCCATAAAAGCAGGCTACTTCATGTAGGCCTGGTGACATTGCTCTCTCATAAAGGCCTTATAATTTGTTCCAAGACGTTAAGTTGTGAAATATAATTTGACACAGAGCTTGTGAAAAAGGCCCTTGCATTTTCTTTTCCTGAGAATGTTTTAACTGCCACACTTGACAATATATAGATAACAGAAACGCGCTTAATTCTTGCGTTTTTGTTAATCATGTTGACCCTTAATTCGTGGGTAATTAGCATTTCAGTAAACTCGGGCGTGTTTGCTCGCAACAAGTCCTATTTCCGAAATAGGGCTTGTGGAAAATTGAGTTCTTTTCTGTCGTCTACTGTGGATAATCCTCCCAGGGTGGACGTGCCCGCTTTTCTGTAATTCTTTGCTTTCAGTGTTGGGCTGGAAAATTTAGAATTCACTCGTGTAAGTTACTAAAAAGGTATTAATATTCATTAATCGTATTGTCTAGTGCTCAGAAGATGGAAAAAAGGTCAAAATACGGTACTCGACCTGTGTGTTTTATTTCATTGTACTAACTCGGTGCGTAGTTGCAAGAGTATTTGATCTGTACGTGAATTCAATATGTGACTGATATTGCAAGATACCGTGATTTAAGAAATGAGTGGATTTAAGTTGTTTTGTTTCGTTTTGGATTTTGTTTGCCTGTGTTCATTTATTTTTTTTTCCAAAGTGTTATAAAAAGTAAAGCTACCTTTTATCAAGTTTTACAGCGTACAAAATTTGATTTGGTTATGGTCTTAACTATAAACTCGAATTCATTTGTCTGTTGATGTCATAATTTGTTTTCCCTACAGTGCCGACCGTGTAAAAGCAGCTTTTTTAGGTACCCAGGTGGCAGAAGAAGGACCGGCGCTGTTGCGGGAGCAAGACGTCATTCAACAGGTTACAGACGGGCGTCTTCTGCCAAGAGTAGGCCTTGTAGAGGTCTTTGCCGTCCTTGTACAATCTGTGCTGGCGGATTGACAGTGTTGACCAATTGCACGGCGACCCAAGACACCGTTTGCTCGCTCTGCCGGGAGGGATTTACTTGGGACCCCGTCAGAGGGCAGTGCAGGAAGGTGAACCCGTTGATTCACGAGGTGGTGGTTGAGATCTCACGGGTGAGCTCCCCTTCGCCTCTCACCATGGGCTGGTACGATAACCCTACCCACTCGCATGCCATACACTCCAACAGAAAGCCTGTGGGAGATGCCACCAGGAAAAATGGACATGCGGCTCCTAGCTTGACAGAGGAGGCTAGAAATGAGGGGATGGCACCAGGTTACATCGCTTCGCTCATCGCCAGCGGAGCCGCTGGGGTAGCAGTTCTTATTCTGATTGTCGTGGTCATCATCTACGCGGTGCTGCGGTGGAGGCAGTGGAAATACTCAACGCCAAGGCGAGGTTGGAATTCGTTCTTGTTTTACCCTTTTCGCCCTTTCACGGGATGGTTATCATTACCCAAAAGTGACACAAAGTTGTAAATTCTTTTAAGCGGCTGTGGATTCCCTAGTCTTATACACCCTAGGGGCTTAGGGTCACAAATTCACCCCCATTTTGCCCAAATAAAAAACCTTAAATATCTATTAAAAAAAAAAAAATCTGGAACATTTTTCTGATTATAAAAAAGTTCGACTCCTTATATACTGCTCTAGAAATGTACAATACTCACATTCTTTTACGGAATTCGATTAAAAATGCCCATCCTTCAATAAGGCCCACCTCACCATGAGTAACACCCGGGCCTGTTTTTCATGTTGTATTAACTATGGTCAGTATTGAGAGTTTATTGAAGCTTTTGTAACTATTATTGTATCTGTAGACTTGTGTGGTACAGCATGCAGCACGATGTCGAATCCGCTAATTTGCAGGAAGTGTGACCAATTTTGATGCAGTGGTTTAAAATCTCTGGAATGACGGAAAAGCGCGTTATTTATCAATCCTTTTAATTCCAAGTAAGTCGCTCATAGGGTCACGTATTTAAACAGAAATGTATGAAATTACCGCAGATTGGATTTCAATTTTTTTTCGCCGTGCGTTCCTGTTCATTTGCAATATTGTAAACGCGTCTTTTTTTTCGTGTAGTGTATTTACAACAATAACAAGGAAATGGAATTGTGGTCAACAAAATCTGCATTGTAATTTCCAGAGAGAACCAGAATTGAGTACAAGTATACAGCTCACTACAGAAGAGTGGTGACCTTCGGAATGCTTGCGACTAAAAATAGTTTGCGGAGGGTTGTAGGAAGTCCCCTTGATTTTTCAACGCCGTTGTGCGATCGCTGATGAATGTTTTCTTGATTTCGGTATTATTTGTGGTTAATCAACCAAGCATCACAGGAATTTCCGTCCAGATTACCACATTTTCAGTTGAAACAGTGGAATGTTGGGACTTTCTATGACGTGTTTTGTGGAAAGCATAATTTTCCCTGAATTATGCTAAACTAAAAAGAAATTGTCAATTCACTTACATTTCTTAACCGCTTAAGCTTCTGTAATTGTCAAAGATTGACAACATGTGAGGGTTTCTTGCCAGATGCTGACCAACTTCCCAAAAGAACAGTTAGATTTCGTTCTTTTTCTTCTTAATGATGAACATGGCATTGAAGTTCCGTTTTGGGTGAAGTGTTTCCGGTCTTGAAACATATTTGAGACAAAAACAGAAGAGTCTGCCTATTAAATTCCATGATTAAATATTAAAGTGAATCTGTTCAAATAATGCCTATTTTTGCCTTTTTTTCTTTTAAATGAAACACAAACACTTACACAAAGCACTTACGTGTTCATATTAGTTTTGGTTTTACGCCATACAACAATTCGAAGGGAAATTCCAGGACTGGGAAACCCCAGGTTCCATCAAGCGCATTGTAACCTGTTGAACCCACGCCCAGCTCGAGTATCTTAAAATAATCTTTGTGTCGACACGCGGTCTGTTGGAGCGACCAAAATGGTTTTTTCTCGCTCATGATTGTGTAAACATTCACCATAGCTGAATCCAACCACCCATCTAAGAAAAGTACATGTGTGGGGACGCAAAGTACAGTACTTGAACATAAGAACGGAAATCACGTGGACTTAATGTAATCCAGAAGAGGGTTTTCAAAGCCCTTTGATTGCCTAACCAGTTGAGAAGGCAGCGAAAAAACAAAAGCCTCAGAGATAAGACAAATCCCACAATGCCTAAATACACATCGGCGTTTATGCACCCATAAACAGATCTGCTGCCAAGCCTTATTCAGAAAGTCGATCAATTTAACTGATTTCTTGGTCCATTGAGCTCGAGAAATTTCATTTTAAGTGAATCCAAAGTTGGAGGAGTGAAAAATCATGTCGATATAGGGTCTATTATAGTTAAAGTTTTTCAACAAAAAGATGTTGTAATTGGCCATTCTCTCATAAAAATTTCATCCCGCACTAACACTTATAAACAAGGACAATATTAAGTAAAACCTCAGATTTTATGTCAAAATTGATTTGGAAATGCCAATACTAAGAAAGGTAGCGGAAATTTCCTAATCTTGAAATGTAGGTACCGACTCGAAAATTTAAGATGGATTAAAATTTTCTTAATTAAGAAAAACTGCAAAACTGCAAACCTCCACGTGACGTAACCCTCTCCATGTTAATTGTCTGGGTCTGCTAGTAGCCAATTTAATCAAGCTCAAAACAATCAATTGTTGTTGTAGTGATTAGCCATTCTTAATTAGTAGGCCTATTGGTGCAAGTAGCGCGTACGATTCAAAGCCCAAAGAGAAAAATTAAGGAATTTCGAACATCTAGACATCCTCTTACAACTCTCATTTCCGTTGAATCCGTAGATGGAAGGATTTGTATTTCCACTGACTGTTTTAAATTATGATATATTCAACAGCTGAGAAATGAGCGCACTCTCTGAACTTCCGGTCACCCCAGACTGTAGAAGGGTATTGCGTGCGATGGGGAATTCCCGCATGAGAAATGTGGAGAATTAATAATTTATGCGCACATCTGTCGCTTCATTTAAAGGGCGCACGACAAAGCATCGCTGTAGCTGTCTACTGGATGTGCAAACTGTCGTAGATTTCGTCCAGTATTGATTTGGAACTCTCAGTTTACTTCAAGCACAAAGGACGCCTCGTTTTCAGTGTAGCATTTTCTTTCAACAGCAAAATGTTTTAAAATCACACAGCATCGACATACTGAAACTGGCATGGGCCAGTTGATCACAACTGGGAGGATTATCATCAAACATGTACTGTTTCGTGTTCCAAACCCATTTTGCATACCCCAAGACCGTACAAAAGGCCCATTAATGTAGCCCCATAAAGGCCATAAAAGGTTACCTAAAAATGTTTTTTTTTGGTCCTAAAAAAACTGTTTGCTTCCTTCAACAATTGCCCCCAAATTAGTTCCAAATCCCCACCCCCCCAAAGGATTGCGCTCTTGGTCGGTGGGTCGTCAATCATGAAGCGTTCATTTTTGTCGTAACTCTCGTATTCCATTGGAACTTTTTTTTTAATATGTAACCTGTTTTTGGCTTTTCCAATGAGGCTGAGTCGAAATTACAGGGGCTCTCTACATTCTTTAGAATGAAATGAAATGCTCCACCGAATTGTCCTTTCTTTTATTATATTAATTGTTCCTTTTTGTACTTGATGTTGGCTTCCCATTGTCTGTCCCCCCCCCCTTTCTGCCATTGAACAGGGTGAAAAAATACCGGATTTTGAGCTTTAACTTATTAGAACAATATAACATAGGTGGGGTGAAACGTGCAGGGCCTGGAAATAGTTATCTTATATTTTATTAGTGCAATACAACCTTTATGCCGGTTCATTCTTGGAAAGCGAACATGAAAGCAAAATTGTGACTTCAGATCAAAATATTCGCGTGGCGAATTCGTAAAGGTTAAACACATTTCAACTAATTGTGTTAATTTCGCTGGAAATTTTTCGTGACGTCAAATTCGCTTCATTTTCACATTCTCCGGAAGTATGAACCGGTCTTTAGACGACATTTTCTTTTGTGCTGAGGTGCGAGGGTCACAAGGAGCGAAACATGACTTAATTTGTACGTAACCGACTTCCAAGAACAATATGAAGTAATATTCACGTGCCCTAAGTTTCAATTCCACTTAGCCTTCTTGCCTTCTTTTGCCGATGAAAGGGGCTTTCCATTTTCTTTTAAACAGGAAATCCAACTTTCATAATTAAACGAGTGACCAATAAGTGCAGCATGCTTCTTATTTTGATTTCACTTTCAGAAATAATAGAGCTGCAGACGGCCGGAAACATTGTCTGTGGTTACGGGGTTTTGTTGAAATTGTAACTCGGGCAATACTTAGTGTCCAATTCACTTTGTTTAAGTGATGACGATTATAATGTGTGTTGACTGCCAAATTCAGTTCCTGTTAGCATGTGTTGCATTGTGGGAGTAACTGTGCACTCAGAACAGGGCTGTTTTCATGGCCCATGATAAAATCAGAAATGGGATGCACGTCGCCCCTGCCCCAGGTGGATACCAGGGAAAGCTGTAAAGAGGTTTCTCGGTTTTGTTGTAAGGAATAAATTATGCCATTTCTTATGGAGGCCGAAACCAGACGGGCTGCCAACCCTTTCTGCATGCTGTCTGCTCAGTGTTAAGGGGTATCCATAGGACTTCCAGTCCTACCGGCAGTGCAAACAGACCGTCAAATTTTTTAACTTAACTAAAATCCGATTTTGTTTGTTTCATTGCAGAAAGAACATGGAGGTTTTGGTTTGAAAGTATCTTCAAACGGGGCAGCCAAACAGTGGCTAATGATGCCCAGTACTCCAATGTTCGAGATTTTGAAACAGAAACTCCGTTGCAACGGGATACAGTTACGAGAGTCGAATCGGAATATTTAAAAGATAGGGAATCGAAAGGATTCCTCAACCTACCAGCCCCCAATACAAGGAACGATTTGGTTGTGCTGGAAACAGCCTTAGGGTGTGAAAAGCATGAAAACCCAGCGATTACAGCTTCCTTTGCTTGCCAAGAAAAAACTGCATCAGACGACAGTTTCATGAAAAGGAATACTCCGAAATCCGAGGAAAAACAAATATCAAATCTTGCCAGACGTTATTCTCTTTTTGGCCAATGTAGCAAAAAGCCAGACGAGGAACTTGCACCCAACGGAGATGTTTTGGATGTAGGAAAACCTAGTAACGGGTATGCTGGGAAAGCGACAATTGATTGCCGTGAGGAGCAGCTAGCAACAGCGCCACCCGCGTTGCCAGCATGTGTGCTACAGTCTGCTGCCACTCGCATTCCAACTGAAGATGCAGTCGTGAATTATATTCAATCAGGCGATCCTCCGTTAGAGGGCGTTCCAGTCAAATGCAAGGAGACTAACATGTAAGTCATCATGGTTGGAAGTGTTGCTGAACAGCAAAACAGTTCACACCAATTTTCTTTGGCGTAAAAGTAACTGCTGAGCAGAAAATATCAAAGTACATAAGTAGACATAGCCAGGAAAAAATAACTTAACACATTTTGACTCAGATCACACACAATGTCATTCCTCTGTCTTGAATCATGTACCTTTTTGCTAGCCGAGAAAGCTCACGTGACAAGGTGACTTAAACCGCACGTCACATCACTCACGCGTCAGCCATCACGTCAGCCAGTGTTGTATGGTATCGCACGCTCGCAGGCACGCGCCCCGCAGTGCACAGAATGGTGCATGGGATCGCTAAAAACCGCAAATGTTCAAATGTTTGACGAAACAGTTTCTGAATGAAGTCCCTCTTGTAATTATCAATGTACCCATATATTCATATTGTCCTTTTCTTGCCAAACAGTATAATATTAAGTGAATGGTATTTACGTTAACGTTTGTGATATTTAAACGAACTCAATTTCCGGACAGACGATTGTTGAAAACGATATAAGATTTATTTTTTCTTGAAATTGACTGCATTCTGGGCGAAAGCTTTCACAGATTACGCTTTTATTTTTTTATTTTTTTTTAATGACGCTTTTATTTATTTAAAAGTACCATTTGTAAAGGGGATTCGGCAGTCCCGTTTTGGAGATTTGACAAAATGGACCGTTTTCTATACTACGTCTAAATTCTCTCAGATTTCTGTCGTAAGAGGGCCTCACGCATTCACAGAGTATTGTGTGTAGTTTCAAGCAGAAGTCGGTCAAGACAAAGGCGAACAAAAGTTGGTCTAGACTGTTTATGGAGGTAAGGCCCTCCATTATGTGCACACCTGTCACGTAGTGGCTTGTTTGGCCGATTTGATCACACGTTTGCCAGTTTATTCGACTCTGCCTCGTCCACATCAGTAGCACATAATATATTTTGTATAATGAATTCCCGTCAGGCTCCGGTGAATATAACAAAATTGCTCAACATTTTGGACGGATACTTTGTCAGCCTGCCATTTTTATTTTTAAAAGTTGCTGTGTTATATTTTGAAGCGTTCCATCTTTTGAAAATAAAACTTGAACACGATCCCTTTCTGGCAGTTATGTAACGTCGAAGTCACATGATTCTTGGTATACGGCGCCCTCTAGATTGAAAAATGGTGCTTTTCTTGTGGGCAAGTCGGCGCTCTTCCTCTTTGAAGTCTAGAAAATGGAGGACTGGATCAATTGTCAACTTAACTCTCATTTGAAACCTGTGGTATGGTGCAAGTTATTGAGTGCTCTGTTGTTATTATGAACAATGCGTGAACCGTCAAAGATGGCTGCATCTGAACCTTATGTTTCCCCCTTGTAGCCCAGCTTTTGTTAACTGGGCATAGTTGCCTACATCCTCGTGCCCGTTTCAGACAAAATTAGCCTTGCAGTACCTTTAGCATACTAACATCGAGACGGGGCAATGTCATATTTTGTTCAGGCAATTAGATTAGATGTTTAGACTTTAAGTGATTTCCTTAAGAAAAGCAGTAATTAGCCTTTTCACAGAAGGTATACAAGACACATTACAGGCCCTTATACGTGACAGGGTCTTGACTGACTACCCAAGAAATATCAAGGACTTTTGGTAAACAGATTTCACTGGTAAGAAGGAGTTTGGTTATGCCAAGCTTTGGGACTTGCCTAGCATGCATCGCATAATACCTTTTGTCTGATTTTTGCTAGATTCTAAAGTCTTAGAAACTTCGGAACTTAGTAACTGTCCTCAAGTAATAAAAAGATATTTCAAGACTAAAAGATTTTTTAAAAGCCGAAATTCGTCTTCCTAAAAATGGTTGCATTGAATGGTAAAAATTCGGTATCTCTTAATGTTGTTTCTGCAAAATTGAAATGTTTGCCGTAACAGAAGTTGTTGTAGAAGACAAAGAGATGTAAAATTCGCATTTAACGCAAATAAAAAGGCTTGAGTTGCTATTAATGTATTTGTCTTTCTGTTTTGCCTTCATTGCCTTGAGCAGGATTATGTGCAGTGATCGATATCGATTGCTGGGGTCTAGGGTTGTCAACATTAATCTCTCTAGAAAAGTCTAATTTTATTTGACAGACGAAAACAGAGATATAAAAAGCAAATCTAAAAATTATTCTCTGTCAAGTGAAACAGGGACAGGTTTCTAGTTGTTCACCAACGAAGTATAGTGTAGTGTCGGCATTTCAATGTGTTATCGACTTGACCCTCAAGTGTAATCACGTTAAATTAAAGCGCAGTGGTGCGAGGGAGGGTCGTTGGCGTTGAGTGTCAAGAAGGATTTAGAGCAACCCACGTGAAGGTTTTATGAAAATAGCACCATGTTTTACAGTGATGCTCGCATGTTTCTTCAAAGTTGGTGATTGGTGAGTGTGGCGCAGAGGGTTGGCTAATTATTGTCCTTTTCATCCAGACCCGATCGGCTCTAAGACGAAATGGACATTTTTACCGTGGAGCGGATGCATTTCCCCTCATGACCAAATGGAATCATATGATTATAGGCCTGAATAATTCCCTATTTGATTAGTGAATTGTCGATCCCATTATAACCAACTGTTGTTCATCCCGTCACACACCGCGGAACATTTCCTTCAGCATTCATCTGCAGTCGCAACTAACATTTTAAATATTCAGATGTTGGATAAAACAGATATGAGTGTGTCATATTCGTGCAATGGAAAAGAAATTAATTTTATCCAGTGACTGCATAATGTCCCATTACCCTCGCGCAGTAACGTATCCAGCTGTTGCTGTTGTGGGGGGGGGGCAAATTCAAAAACAAATGCGGCTTTGGCCTCATTCAACATGATAACGGGTAGAAACAATGTAGCATATTTGTTTGATAAATAAATAAACCGGTTAGTTTCTTTCCTACTCACCTATGAAGTAATCTTGGTTAAAAAAAACGAAAAAAAAACGTCCGTCGAGGGGTGGGGAGTTACCCCTGCCCCCCCTCCTGGATACGCCACTGCCCTCGCTTTGCATTATGCACTGGAACACCACAGCTGTCACATTATAAAGCTGTTACCCCCCCCAACACGTACGCACAATGTGGAACAATAGGGAGAAATCGTAAGCGAATCATTTTGCTCTTTTAGGGAGGTTTTGCTCTTTTAGGGAGGTTTTGCTCTTTTTAGGGGAGTTTTCTTCACTGGTACCGAAAGAGATTTGTCTTTGATGTTGTTTTTGCATTGACAATGCATGCATCTTTTTACAAACTTTAGGCCTACATCAATCAGTAAAGCAACAACACCCCAACAAACAAACAAACACCCCAACAAACAAACTGTATTGTCCTTTCAAAAGCAACCATTTTAAAGTGGTTATTGTTGTAGAGCCCAAAAGTTGAGCCCTGGTGACATACATCTGGAACCCTCTGACATAGGAAATATAACGAGAAAAAATTTTAGAGTTTGCCATTTGTTCATTTACGTCTTGAAGAAAAGACCTTTGCAAAATATTTGCTGGCACAATAAATTTACCAAAACTGACAAGAATTACCTGACCAGAAAAAGCAACATCCTGCCAATAATTTACCCCTAGATACACGAAGATCAGTGCAGTTCGGCGTTCTCTGTTCCCGAATTACTTGGGGACCACACACGTAAAATTCCGACAGGAGTTTTGCACTTAATGGCTTCAGTTAGGAATTATTCGTCCAAAACTTATCCGACGTAGTAGCACGGCCCCAATGTAAACTCCCCATAGGCAGACCGCACGAAGGTTCCGGAAGCTCGCAGCATGACCCTGTATGTCCTTGCTCTTTTGTTGGGTAGGCTTGGTGCCAAGTCGGCACTTGGTTTGGTAAAAAGTATTCTGTAAGCCCAAAACGTCGTTCTGATCTGCACAAGCGCACTGCTCGTGAGACTACAAACGCCTCATAAACCTTTGCGCGGGACGTTGGATGCCTCATCCCAACTAGCGGATGATCGATGATCCAATTACCGACTTGTAGAATTCGGTTTTGTTCCCCATAAGCACTCATTCTGTTTCATGGGGTGGTTTCAGTTAAAATTATCGAACGCGTAGGATGGCCCATTATAAAATCCCCATAGGCGGACCGCGCGAGGGCTCCGGAAGCTCGCAGCGTGACCTTTCACTTTCAGGCTCTATTCAAATAGAGCCCATGAAACACTCATGTTGGAAGTTATCTTCGTCTTCCTCAGCTAATATTTAAGAAAAGACACCTGGAGATGAGTGAAAAAAATGAATTCCATCAACGACCTTTCGTGTCCAGCGATGTCGTATCTAGGTCTCCTTGTTCATGCACGTTTGTTTTCACTCCCCTTGCTTTCGTGAAATTTAAGACGAAAACATTACAACCATTTACCTACCTGTAGCCGATGGGTTCTATGTTCCGTTGATTTGACATAAGGTTGCACTACAGCAAATACGCGCCCATAGGGGTGCGCCCTCGTATTTAGGCCAGAAATATGTCCGCCGGGCTCATTAACAAAAGTTATAGACTCAAAATGTTCTATATTAGAGGGTCCTGGGAGCCATGGAACTGGGGAATTGAAGAAATCTGAGACTGGACCTCTGGGCCGGACTCGGGGCGTCCAATTCTGAGCAATTTGGATGCAATCGGGTCCGAAAGTGCCACTCGTTGAGCCATTTTGCAGAGGGATGGTTTTTCAAAATGGCTACTTTTCTGGACAGGGATATTTTCTTCATTTTAAGGGTGGTCTGCTTCTGGTGAAAATTTCTCAAAAATTCATTGGTCAACCCCCCTGAAAATTGAAAGGAAATGAAAGGGGACATGTGGAACATCATTTTTCTGTGCAGCCTGAATACCTGTGAGAGATGTGAGTATTTTTAAAATATTTTTGAAGTATGGGGGTTTATCACTGCTGTCTATGGGAATTTATTTGTAGTGGTGCACCGATAGAAAACAGTGCAAAATCGGATCGAAATAGCACCGCCTGATGTTGACTCTCGTGAAGAGGTTGGCCTCCGTTTTGTTTTACAAGAAAAATCACATTATGGCCAGAAGATCACTTTTCGTTTCAATTTTATGGGGGTTAGCCACGAAAATCTTCTTTTTTTTATTCGCCTTTCAAGGAAGATGCCCCCAACAGCTGTAAAACTAAGCGCTCATTTCTGAATGTACCCACCCGCCTCTATCCAAAATAGGGCCGCAATATGGGGCTTTTTGTGAAGGAATTTCCGAACTGGAAACTATCAGTCCCAAGTTCGGGATTTGTAGAAATATTTCTATGATGCCTCCTGATTATAGCCTGTCTTGTTGTGAAAACCCAGTGGGATCACATAATATTAATGAGCTCGCGCACAGAAATACAACCACTTGGTGTAATGTACCCATAACACAGTTGTCGACAAGGTCAGATAAAATACATGTATCAGAATCGATCATAAAGGCTGAGTTCGGGCGGCTTGTTTCCGTATGTTCACGAACAGCTCCATTTGTTGTTCGTCGGTCGGCCGTCTGAACGCCGGGAACAAGCAACCGATTATCGCTGGTAGTTAGTAACAAGCAACATGGCGGCGTCCATGTAGGCTACGTTATTCGAGAGTTAATGTTTGAAAGGGCTGAATTCTTCTCTACATAAACATTCATTTCTGTGTTACGGAAAATAGTTGCATGTAATGTTAATTTTGCAAAACTTCCCATGTTCTATGGCTTTGGAAGCCATCTCTCTACTGAGATTTGCAGCTGTTCAAAAATTCAAATCTCACGAGTTTTCCGTGTGTTCCTGTAAAACCCTGACGCCCGGTTCGAGCGCGAGAACAAGAAACCTGTGTCAAGAACAGGCCTCCCGAACTCGACCAAAAATATATTATTGCTTCCACTTTAAATTATAACCTTATAAATCAAAAAGGTTTGTCAATTTTTTGGGTCTGTTTTATTTCTGCTTTTACCGTCAGACTGCCATAAAATTTCGCACCATAAATGCTCATCTGCATACGAGACCCCCCATTGGACTGTTCTTCATGTGTTTCAGATTTTCGGAAGTGATGGGTTAATTTTTGGCAGGATATTTCTCTTTTAGTTCAGGTAATTCATCAGTTTCTATAAATTGATATATTAGCAAATATTTTTCAAAGTTGAATTTTTTAAATTAAGAAGTAACTGAAGGAAAAAAATATATAAATTCTAATATCTTTGCACGTAATTAATTTTTCCCATTCAAGAGTTTCAGATGCGCGCCATCAGGGGTCATCTTTTAGTCTCTTTTGTAAAAAAAAAAATACGCAAGGTCATCGCTAGTACAAATTCAAAGCGCCACTAGGTGGCGCTATTTCTCGCCAACACGCACAAGGGTGTTCGATCGCGTGTTCACGTGAAGTATATAGCTCAACCAACGTGAGGCATACCGTGCACATCAGTGGGCGTTGTACGTGTCGCCGTACCGTTCCACTTTTTACGGGCTTCATGCCAGGCAAGGCGCCAAAGCGAAGTTCGAAGTTCATGAGCTACGCACACAAGACTAGGCAAACATGATCAGGGCCAGGGTAGGCCTATGTCATGTACGTGTATGTGTTGCCCACATGCAACACGTACACACGTTCGTGTCCATGGGGCTGAGGTGCGGAGGCATTTGGAGAAGGTGTTTCGACCCTCAGAAGCTCAGAGTCAGATTGAGAAAACAGCCAGTTTTGTCAAGAACCATGGCAACCAACAGACAGTAAGTAGCCTAGCCCTAGGCCTACAATCTGGATCTGCCTGGTGAGCAGATCACTGATTGAACTGACCGCTTCCGTAATGTTAGTCAGATTTCAGCTCAGAACATCCTGACAGACACAATCATCAAGAGCCGTGGCATTGATCGACAACTCGGTCAGCCATGTCATGTGTACTGTAGGCCTAGTTCTAACTGCATTTGGTTGTTTACTGAAACGTCTCGAAGGAAAAAAATCACTGCAGTCATCGGCAGTGCATGTTGTAGGCCCTACCGTATCTGTGATGTAAAATTGCCCACGACCGTTTTTCGCTGGTCGTGGCACTATGATACGCCAGCCACACGTGGGCTTTTGGGTGGTGTTGTATCACTATAATTGCCACCTACAGGGCGTTTTCATTATGCAAACCGATCACATTCCCAGCTAATGACAGGCCAAGGGCAGTAATCCTACCATGGAAATACGAGTTGTGTACATGTAGCCCCTAGGGCCCTAGGCTAGGCCTATTAAAGGCCAAGTTTTCTGCAAGAAGCTAGAAGTTGTCACCCTTTTGGTTTTAGTACTCGCTGTTTGCCATAGTTTAGCCAGCCATTAGTTTTAGGCCTACATGTATGGTGACCTTATAAGTTGCATGTACATACAAATGTACTGTACATGCATACATGTATTGTACTTGGGCAGGAAAGAGTTTCATGCCCAAACATCACTTGACACCCTTGGAGAAAACCCTATGAGACTGGTCTAAAGTGTTTTCTAAGTAAATATTAAATACATTAAGTTAAATATATAACTTGTTTACCCTGCCAAATTTTACTTTTTAGAAATTACTTTCTGATTGCTAGTTTAAAATCACTGCAAGGGAAGACCTGTGATGTTGGTGCCTTCAGTGTATAGAACTCTCACCCTTTTTGTATATGATGGTTTTTATGATGGCTTTTTTCCCTTTCCATAATCTATTATAATTTTTCTCGGGCAGTAACGGTCAGAAATGTGTCAAGGGACGAGCCCTTATTGATTTCAATGTCAGGATGGTTGGTTTAAACCGTACAGAAAAAACACTGTATGTAAAGCCTACACGTTACTATGATAAGGTTGTTTAGTTTGGAATGCATTACCCATATGTCAATGCCTAGCTAATGGATACATGTACATGTGTAGCTAGCTACAAACATTACATGTACATGAAAAACATTACATTACAAAAACATCACAAACATTACATGTACATGAAGTTTAACATGTTCCTCTAAGAGTTACAGCCTGCATCTATAATTTAGGATCAATTTGAATTACGCGAAGAAAAGTAATTATCCGTGGGAAATTGTGTCCCGAGATTTCTGTCTTGGCCAGCACCACTTTGGAGCACCGAAGTGATTTCATCACGAGCACAATTACATGTATGTGTGTATGTGTACATGTAATCCATAGAATAGTATTTGAACCAACACGTACACACACAGACATGTACTCCATTTGTTTGCATTACACTTCCTGGTTCGAAATGACGTCACACTTTATAGAAAGATGGTGGCATTATTCCATCTATGGTACGGCCGTAAATAATGCTGAATCTGCTTTACGTGTACGGTATGCCACAAAGAACAGTTCAGCACCCATAGTGTCATACGATGGGTACAGTGGTCCAAGCGATGAGCAATTAATCTGCGAAGGTGTAACCAACGAACAAGCAAATTGGTTAATTTTTGGTCTGCTGAATTCCTTTTGGGAGGCTAACTGGATAAGAAAAAATACTTACCTGTAGGAAAATTGAGGCAACAAGCAAAAATGTCAATTTACGTTGCTGGTTAAAACCTGTCAGTATTGCTTAAAAGGCTCTTATACTGCACAAGCTTGACAAGGAAGTGTTGTGTTTTCAGTGAATGAATCCAATATTGTTGAAGAAAGAGACGCAAAATGTTAAGGTAGATTTAATACCTCAAGTCCCGTAAAAAAAAAGGCACATGATGGCAGAAGTAATTAAAACAAAACAAAATCTTTCAGTTTTTTTAAATTACAACAAAAACTACCATACATGTAGGCCTACATGTTTACCACATGTTCCTTGTTGAACTCTGGACGCCTCAGGCTCAGGTTTCTAGGAAAGGGGCAGTGAATGTTGTCACAATTTGACCTTTTAGCATCAAAATACATGTTTAGTTCCCACAGCCCTACTTTACATGCACACGCAGGCCTATATAGTACACATTTCTAAATAGATGAACTCAGTATTTTTGCATGAAGCAGTTAAATACCACTTCCATTAATCAAACAAACTGTACCATTTACTGTTTATACCACTTAAGGCTGCCTGTGATTAAGGCCATTTGGCTTGGGACTTGAGCAAGTATATGTTTCAAATTTACTTGGGGAAAAAATGTTTCACACTTGAGCCATACACACACTGACTTGAGTTATTGAAAAGTGACTTCTGACCTGACCTTCAGAAAAGACATCAGTGACTTGACTTTAATATGGAAATGACTTCTGACTTTATAAATGTGCATGTACATGTATAGAAAAGTGTCTGGTGACTTTGTTGATTACATGTACCTATTCGACTTATAGAGAAGTGACTTGTTACTTGACCTATGGAGAAGTGACTTGTGACTTGACCTGTAGAGAAGTGACTTGACCTATGGAGAAGTGACTTGTGACTTAACCTATGGAGAAGTGACATGACCTGTGGGAGAAATGACTTGACCTATGGAGAAGTGACTTGTGACTTGACCTATGGAGAAGTGACTTCTGACTTGACCTATGGAGAAATGACTTGACCTACATGTATGGAAAAGTGACTTGTGACTTGACCTTTAGAGAAGTGACTTGACCTATGGAGAAGCCACTTGTGACTATGAATGGAAAATGTCTTAAATGTGTGTACATGTACTTTCACCTTGACCTTGACAGTTATTTGTGACTTGTGTTAGTGGTCAAACATAATTTGACATTTTTCTGTAAGCAAATTTCTTGAGGTTTCATATTACAATGTATCAAAACATGGCTAACTGACCATGGCACAGGTGCATTTATTTGTACATGCATGTAGGCCGGAGGTGACAAAACTGCTTGTCATTTCTCACCTTTTAGCCATAATTGTTCCATGTTCAATCTGCAGGGAGTATGTTTTGGTTCCCCTTTCTGAGGCGGGGTCTTTTGTGGAGCGATGCATGGTAGCAGTTGGGACCAAACCTAGCCACGCTAAGGACCTTGCTACACTGCTGGTGTGTGCCGACTACCGAGGACATTACAGCCATGGGATGAACCGTCTTGGTAAATTCTCGCTACATGTACACCGAATATCTTGAGTGCTGACTTGCTGTATAAAATCTGATGGGATTGCATGTTCATGTACATGTGTATACACTTCAAAACCTACATCTGGACCATGCAAAGATATCCTTTCATGGTTCTCCTGCAGATCTGTCTATTGACTAACTTAAGAATTTTTTGTTTGTCTTGTCGTCTTTGCTAGCAATGTATGTTGAGGATATCAAGAGTGGGACCAATGCCAAGGACGGAGAACCAGTGATTCTCAATGAGCTGGCAGGCACTGCCTGGGTGGATGGACAGAATGTGCTAGGACCAGTGGTGGGGCGGTTCTGTACTGATCTGGCCATCAAGAAAGCAAAGGAAGCTGGGATTGGAATGGTGGTGGCCAAAGGTCAGTCATGATAGACTAGAGACCTGTCCTCACATCACACGTGATTGTGAGGACAAAAGGCAGGTACCTGTAGTGTCCTCAAAATGTCTACAGTTGCGTTGCTTGCTATCTGCGGTACATTGCCAGGTCTGCATTCAGAGTAATTTGATTTGCGTAGTGCACCCTGAAAAGCACAGAAAAACTCATGTAATACATGCATTAGAATGTCTTGACCCAAAGATATCGGAGGTCATCGGATCACTAGCCAGTCACAGACCGTTATGTGCAAGGTACTATGGGCTGCATGTGTTCAGACCAATGTTATACTCAAGTCCATCACGATTCATTCAGTCTTAAGCCAATTCACAACCTATTCAAATGAGCTGTGACAAAAGCGTTCCTTTGTCGTTGTTCATCGTGTTACTTATGACTGGCCTTGTGAAGGAACTTGTGACTGGACTTGTGATGGACTCAAATACAACACTGGTTTAGATTATACGGCACCATTGGGTTATTTGTATCCGCTCAAAATAGGGATACAAAAATGAATAGTACGCTACATGAACTGTGTTACAATGCAGATAACCAGTTACCTGAAAAAGAATTCCTAATTAAACATTTCACAGAAAGAAAAAAAAACAAGCATGTACTAACCTACACATACATGCTGCCTACCAGTATGCTGTGAATGCATTCAAACTGTCAATTCCTTTCATCCAAGGGCTCCCTTACAACTGTTGGCCGTGGAGGACTAAATTACTGCATTTATGGTGAATGAAAATAATACATCAATAGACAGATGTGGCCAAAGTGGTGATGGGTCGGAATCAAGTTTATTTCTCCAATGGGCACTGAGCCTGGTCTGTGGAATCTATGGGCTGTGGTCTTACTCCATAGACATTGACCACATAAACATTCACATGTACAATGTACATCAGCCAGTAATACATGTACATTTGTACATAATGTGTTTACATAAACTTTTCTAAGGATGGATATTTGCCCTGGGGAGATGTGAATTAATTTGGTTTTTTTTTTTTGCCCAGCCCGACAATTAAATTAAAAATTAATTAACATCTCCCCAACCTAAATTCATCCTTGGAAAAGGTTGTTCGCGGTACCATACCTGCTGCTACATCTGACTCAAACCAGCCAGCTGACACCAGCAAGCTCGGTGGTTGAGTGGTTAAGATGGCTGCACTAGTCAGCAGGAGGTGGGTTCAAGTCCCACCTGAGTACGCTTGTGATTTTTTCACAAGCCTTTGGGGGCATACACTGAGTATACAGTGCCGTAATACACACTGGGCAGGGACAAAAAAAATTCCAAAATTAATTAAGTTTATATAAACCCAGTTATGTAGAGGAAAGTGCCAAATGCTAATGAAATGCTGCCAGACACAGGAAAAATAAAGCCGAAATTTAGGAGTCCTACATGTAAATATCCCAACCAAGACACATTCCCATGGATGCAAATTTGTGTAACATACATGTACATATACATGTCTACGGCATGGCTTGTACATGTACCGGTAACCCCAATTCAAATCAGTGCAGCATTAAGGTACAACCCAGTCAAACAGTTACCGTCTAAGTCAAAATCTGATAACATCACATAGCTTAACGAATTGTACTCATTTTTTGTAAATTAGGCCGTGTCCAAAAGAGCTACGGCTAGGTCTACTGTCTATGCATCATTCATCATACTATCATTCTTGGTCTTTATTTTAAGATAAGAGTATACAGTCATCAGCCAAGAGTCATACTTGGGATTTAATGCCCAGGGGCAGGTCACTGACCTACCTGTTCATGTAGAATACCGGTATGAACAGTGAGGGTCCCAAAACAGAAGGAAAAGAAATACCATCTAATATGACACACTGCGACCTCCTAGTAAGGAAGTTACGGTGGTAAGCCAGTGGTGTAGAGAGCTGGTGACACCTGACTGCTTCAGCTTCAGTAAAAGTCTGTGGTAGGGGACAGTGTCAAAAGCCATGCTGAAGTCTGTTATAACAACATCAGCTTGGCCTTGGTGCTTCAACGAAATCGTTAATTGTTAGGGCAAGTTGTGTCTTCCATGACCGTCCCTTCCAAAACCAAGTTGTTGAATCGTTAAGAAATCCCGTTTCTTGAAATGATTCATAACATTGGAGTGAATAACATGTTCGAAAAGTTAACAGGGTATAGACGTCAGCGAAACTTGTCTGCAGCTACCTACCGTAGTTCTGCGCTTTTGCCTTTCTTTAATATTGATGAGATAGAGGCCTTCAACCAGTCTTCAAGTAGTTCTCCCGTGTCAATGGATTCCTGGGCGGATGAACCTCACTCACTAATGCAATGAAACTGACCTTTCATGTGTACATGTATGTATGATAACGTAAACGTGGAAGCCATTTTATTGTTGTATTTTTTAATTCCATAAAAATACTATGTACACGTGTGGAGGCCAATCGGGCCATTACTTTTTTTTTCTTCCTTAATGCCCACCAATCAGAATGAACACTTCAGTTCAAAATTCTGAAATTTGTATCCTTGCGGAGACATGGCTTTGTTCTCCAGTACTTATTCAGTGGCGTGTGAAAGGATGTTTTCAAAATGCTCCCATTTCAACATAAATCACTCTCCTGAACTGAAATTTCGACCGAATGTCCCTTACAGTTACATGAAACACTTCAAATTGCGACAGATTCTTACACCTTAAAAATTTCTCTTGTTTGAGCAATTACCAAATATCAGTTTCATGAAATCCTTGTGGAGACCTTCCGGTGTTCACCTTTAGAAATTCCTTGTGGAGACCTATTCAACCCATTCTCCTAGGTCTCCGCAAGGCACCATGTTCCGGCACATAATGTGTGACACCTTCATGTACATGTATTTATTGGTACATACATGTACATGTACGTACATGTAGATGTACAGGTACTAGTATCGTTGTTGGTTGTATATGTAAATGTTCATGTATTGCAATTAGTAACCCCCGGTACCCGGTACATGCAAATGGTGCATGCATACTGGCCCCAGTGTGGTATGTTCCCAAGGACAGCAACAGATCAACTTCTGAATCTAAGGCGACTTCTGTCAAGAGAATACTTTGTATGGGGAACTAAAATTTTGTCATTTTTGTATTTGAGCATGCCTGTGTTCTTATCATATCCTCTGAGGGAAGAGAAGTTTTAATAGCTGAATTATGGAGCCACTTCAGTATACATGTAGAACATCAAAACATAATGTGGAACTCCCTGTAACCTATGTGCTTATGAAGGTCATTGCTACAGCGCCCTCAGTATTGTAAGCATGCATGAGACCATTACCTGTAGTCACAGCCACCTAACATGTACGCGGTACATGTAAGTTGTCAAGCTGTATTCGTTCACATACAGGTATACATGTACAAGTGATGGGATAATCTTTCAGTTGTTTCGGCGATCTCTCCAATGCACATCTTATACTGTACGTTTTAATCCTCATTCTCACAGGTCTTCTGTTTTATTTTTCTTATGTTTTAAGGTTCCAATCATTATGGTATTGCTGGCTGGTACACCATGCGTTGTGCAGATGCAGGCATGCTGGGCATGTCATTTACTAACACTTCGCCCCTCGTCGTGCCCACCAGAGCACGAAAGGTGGGCTTTACAGTGCAGTTTTCTAGTCTGAATACGTGTAGATGGCCATTTTGTCAAACTTTTTTGATCTGCAAGGTACAACTCATGTACATGTACACATAGATCTTTGACTTTTGAAGTTGAGGGAAAATTTTTGCTGAGATTAAAATGGAACCGGCTCAAAGGAAACGTTACCAACTGGCTAAGCTGTTCACATGTAATGGATGTGTAGGTCATTGTAACAATGCCCTCTAGTACACATGTACATGTACATATAGGATGAAAGGTCATTACAGTCTATGAAGCTACATGTATTCATAACTAGCCCATAATCGTCAAGTACATGTCCATCTCATGCAGCTCATCTGTTCATTTTTGCTCATACATGTGCATTATTCACCGTCTTCCTGGCAAAGTCAACCATCCTATTCATTATCACCCATGTATCCCAACAGTGTACAGTAAAGCATCAGTCTGTGCTATGCTTAGATGATCCCAGCTCAGGTGCTACAGATGGAGTGACCATTGAGCACTGTAGTTTGGGCCAGTATAGGGTTGATAACCTCACCAACTTGCACGGTTCTTACCATGCAGTTGGTGCACTATTACACATTAACATAAATGTTACCAGGTCAACTTAGGTGAATAAAAAAGCCTGATATTTTAGGTTTTCTTAAATATCTCAGTACTTTGTGGAGACCCCAGGAAAACCTGTTAGTGTTTGGTTTGACGCAGTACCTGTCTCCTTTGTCGTTTGCAAATATAAAAATAAAACGCTCAGAGTACGGTGCATTCTTAACCCTAACCCTCCTCAATCCTCCAAAATCCTTCGGGTGATTTTGGAGGATTTTTAAGGATGAATGGCAAACGTGTATGGCTGGTGGGAACTTGTGTTATTTATGCTTAGTCATGCGTAAATTTAGCCGGGCATTACTTTGAAATCTACCACACTCTTTGAGAAAGCCACTTGCACTGCCTCAGCATAATGGCAGGAATTACCAGAAGATCTTGACGGACTGAGGAGCTGGGTACCTCTCATTCTTAGCTCGAGTTCAAAGATCGCAGGATTGAGGATAAATGCAATTTTTGGACTAGGGCCACTGGAAGATTTTGGAGGATTGAGGGTGTGCCCCAGCAAAAGAAACTAGTGGGTTAGGGTTAGGCAAATATTTTTAATTGATTGAAATATTTCATTCATTTATCAATTGTAATGAACTAAGTAAAGTGTTTTTAAAAATTAAAAGCCCCTTAAAAATAATATTAAGTGAAAGAGGATAAACCATGGCTAACGCTTTGACAGTATTTTTTTTAAATGTTTTTTTCACTTTTTGAATTCAATAATTTATATTAACTTTGATGTGCTTGGTATCTACCGTTAGTGGAAATGTGTTCCATTTCATTAATGCATCTTAGTTTTTTACTAACATTTTAATGTTAATTTACACGCACAGTTATTGTTATCACATCAACCATTGCCATCATGACTTTGACATTACCATCATTGTTTTGTATATTGACAAGTTTTTTGTGGTCAGCATTCCCATTCATTGCCGTTAATTTCCTTTTACTTATTTTGTTTTTAGCCTATTTTAGGAACAAATCCCTTGTCATTGGCAGCACCAGCAGAAAATGGAGACAGCTTTGTTCTTGACATGGCAACATCCACTGTAGCCTGGGGAAAGGTGAGGATTTGAACCACTCCAGGCACAAAGACATGTTCCCCACACATTACAGTGGACAGAGTTACACGTAGGCTGATGAAGTGAGCAGTAGGCAACACCATTCATGCTGCATTCCCAGTTGCCATGTATGTGCTACAGAGGCCTTGCAAAAATATTCCTAAAATTGTATTTATAAGCAGTCTTAGACTGCCAATTGACCGTCACATATGGAATGTGTATTACCCCCAAAATCTTTGCTACATGCTGGCTCAATTGTTGCACAATACCAGCATGTATTTGATAGAATACTAAAAAGCATGCTCTCTCTGTGAATTTCAGCACCATGAATTTGCAGTTAATTTGCAGTTTCACTGTGAAATTGTGTTTTCACTGCAACTTCATGGCAGTTCACATGGTGAAAACACCGTGAAAAAAATCCCGGTG